CCCAACCACAAGTTCCTTTTTACCCTTCACAAAACTTCACCCTTTCTCAAGACCAACATCCATACACCCCCTACATGACTAACGCGGCGCCACCTATAAACCCACCAACTTGGAGTAACGAGGGTACGAGATTAAGTTATGGAAGTGCGGCAGCGATACCAGCTGACGACGATTTCAATGATGATTTGGTCGCTCAATTCATGAACCCTAACAATGATGCAGGACCATCTACGCAGACCCAAAACGCTGAGGTTGATCGTAGAAGGTCCACCAGAAATGTACAAGCTCCTGCCTGTGGAACCCACCAACGCTTACGTCGACCGGGTCGAAATTAGTTAAGGGTCAATAGGAATTGTAATGTACATATTAAATTTCAAAAATTAATATATTTATTTTAGTTCTTTTATTGTTATTTATTTTATAAATATTATTATATATTTCTAATTCAGTTATAATTATTACTAATTAATTTAAATTACTTAAAACTAAATACATTATTTCTACATCAATTATTATTATTACTAATTAAATTAAAAATAATTAAAACTAAGTATTTTAAAATACATTATTTTTAATTCAATTATTATTATTAATAATTATTATAGTATAATAATAATTATTATTATTGTTATTAATAATAATAATAATAATAATAATAATTATTATTATTATTATTATTATTATTATTAATTATTATTATTATACTAAATAAATTAAATAACATAAAACGGAAAAAAAAAAAAACAATGCCCTCAACCGCCCATTGAAAGGGCGGGTGCCTTTAAAAAACAACATGACCGCCTATTGAAAGGGCGGCAATGCTTTAAGTTTGTTTGAAAAGATGGCATTTTGATATTAATTCTGAAATGTGTGGCATTTTGGTTATTAGTAGGTAATAAAATGGCACCGAAAAATTTTCACTTTTTAACACATGTGAGTATTCCTAAAATGTATCAGTTTTATTGTTTTTTATACTTTGGCCTACTTTGATTTTCGTGCAACATGAATTTGTTTCATTATTATAGACGGTGTAGAATAAGGGTTAGAATGTGTCAAAATAGCAAAACTCTACTTTTATTTATGAAGATTGTATTATATCATAGGTTAATGATAAAAAAGTTCTACACATGATTATTAAGTAGTTGTTAAAATATTTATATTTGACTTGAATTATCAATTTTTTTAAGTTTTGAAAATAAATTTTTAAAAATATTCTAAAAATGTATTTTTGCATTAAATTTAGTCATAAAATTAGGTTATAATTCAAAAACAAATAAATTATATATATATATATATATATATATATATATATATATATATATATATATATATATATATATATATATATATATATATATATATATATATATATATATATATATATATATATATATATATATAAAAGTGCATTTAAAAATATATCTTCGAATTTTAAAGAATATTTTTAAATTTTTCCAGAGTGTTATTTTATCCTGCGATAAGAAACTCTCTAAATTAAAATTAAAATTGTTTGTTACAATTTTGATTCCTAAATGAAAAGAACTAGTTTAGAATTCAATATTTAATACGGTATTTATTTATATTTATTTATTTATGTAAATAAGATAATTATAAGTTATTACTTTTTTTTTATTATAAGTTACTTTAAAAAAAAATTGTACGATAATATAAGTCTTTTTCTCATATTAATAAATAATTAATGTTATTTTTTTTATTATACTCTTAAATATTTATTATTCTCAATCATTTTAATTATGTAAATTTGTCATTTCAATACCATTAATGAAGAAGAATTTTACAAAATCTTTCATAATTTCTCTTTTTATATCATAATTATTACATTTCTTAATACGTGTAAAAAGTAAAAAAAAAAAAAAGATTTATAATAAAAATTAGAGTGAGTAATAATTTTTTTTTAAATCATCAAATTTAAGGATTAAATATGTTTGCGATCCTCTTAAATATCTCAATTTTTAGTTTTAGTCTTCAAAATATTTCTTTCAAATAATGGTCCTCAGTTTTTACAACTTAACGATAGAATTAGCGACGATTTATTACTAAGCGACTGAAATAACGACGATTTATTATTTAGTGACTGGAATAGCGACGGTTTTATTATTAGAGACTAAAAGTGTGGATAAAAAATTTTATGAGGACATTTTTAAAAAAAAATATTTTGAGAAACTAAAAACAATTGAGAAATTTAGTAGGACCACAAATATATTTAATTAATGCTTAAAAAATTATAATATTAAAAGTGTTTCATGAATTCCTATTTTATTTTCTGGAACTGAAGTTAAAAATCTCATTTTTCAACGTTTGTTTTAAATTTTATCAAAATTATGTCACGTACTTTTTATTCTTGAGAAAATAATTTACTTATGAAATTGTTATATTTTATTCTCTTAAAAAATGTGGGAATTTTACATTTTCATAGGAATAAAAGATAACCATAACCTCTCATTTTAAATTGTTTTAACTCTTTAATATTTATTAAAATATTTTAATTAAATATATTTTATAAATATTTAAAAAAAATTCAATTATTTATCAAACACATAAACATAAATAAAATTTAATATTCCAGAATATAATTTTCTCAAGATTATAATTATAATTGTAACCCTTTAAACAAACACCTTCTACATAAATTTCACATGAGTATCACCATTTTATTTAAAATTTATCATCATAACACACACACACACACACATATATATATATATATATATATATATATATATATATATATATATATATATATATATATATATATATATATATATATATATATATATATATATATATCATTACTATATGATTTTGAATATTTTTTATTATTACTTTCTTTCTTTTTAAAAATAAAATACTATTTAAAATGTACTCTGTAAGGTTCTATAGTATAAATTTTGTATTTAAAATATAGTAATAGACGCATATGATTTGAAAACAATATCCAAAAAAATTTAATAACTATTTCTTTCATTTTATAAAGATTGTTCTAGCTCTCAGATTTAAAAAAATATAATTTAAATTAATATATTAATTTTAATAATAAAATTAATATTTTTTTTAATCAAAACAAAGAATATATTAATTCAAAAAACAGTCAGTACAAAAGTCAGGTGATCCAAGAGGATCCAACCCACCAAAAAAAACTACTTACATCATATAACTAACAAGGTGATTTCTAATTCTAAGACATCAACTTTCACTTTCTTCCATATGTGTCTTGTCCCTTGACAGCAGAAGAACAGGTGATTCATTGTTTCTTCCTCGGCTTGACATAAATTGCATATGTTGTCTTCAATCATCCCAAAATGCTTTAACATATCCTTGGTTGCAAGTTTCCATGACATGCTTGTCATAAACAAAGTACTGTTCGCGGCCGGCTTTTGTTGGATATTATCAATTTTCTTCAAAGAACCCTTGTGCCATCATCAATCAGTAGCTTGTAAAATATCGACGCTTTAAACTTTTCAGTGTTCATAGCTTGGTTCCATTCATGGCGAATTAATTCCATGGTATCTCTTTGTTTCAAAATACCGCGCATAATCCAAGAATTGTGATTTTTGATTACATAATTCATCACATGTTTTCCTTTTAGGTAATGACTATGAACCCATTTCACCCATAAAGTATCAGTTTTGTTGCAAAGATTCCATAAGCATTTCAATAGCAGAACATTGTTCCATACCTGAAGATTCAGCAGGTTCATCCCCCGGTGCAACAGGGTAGCAGGTGTGTTTCCATGCCACAGGGCACTTTCTACTCACCGTATCCTTACCGGTCCAAATGAAACTGCGACAAATGGATTCGATTTTTCTGATCACAGCTTTCGGCATGGGGAGGCAATGCATCCAATATTGTACCATTACTGAAGATATACTTTTCACCAACTGAATTCTGCCTACGTAACTTAGGAGTTTAGATGACCAATGATGAATTTTAGCCACTATTTTATCCACTAAGGGCATAAAATGGTTGATGGTTAATTTTTTGCTAGACAGTGGTATTCCTAGGTATTTGAATGGCAGCGTTCCTTCTCGGAAACCTGACAGCTCTTTCAAGGTTTTTTTTCTTCTCATTGTCCAATCCTCCAAAATAGATCTTGCATTTGTTTGGGTTCATTATCAATCCCGTGAAATTGGAGAAATCCCTTAATGCCCTCAAAATCATTTGTATTGATATTTCATCTCCTCTACAAAATAACAGAACATCATCTGCAAAAGTGAGATTGGTAATATTCAATTTTTCACACTTGGCATGGTAGTTGAAATTAGGATTTCTTTGCATTTTCACCATCAGTCTGTTCATATACTCCATTATGAGGACAAAAAGCATAGGTGATAGAGGATCGCCCTGCCGAATCCCCCTTTTAGCCTGCAGGATATCAGTGTATTCCCCCATGATGTTAAATCTGTAGGAAACAGTGGTGATGCCTAGCATAGTCCATTGGATGAATTTGTTAGAGAATCCCATTTCTTTCATGATGCACTCCAAAGTCCTCCAATTAACCATATCATATGCTTTTTGTAGATCTATTTGCATCATAATTCTAAGTGTGCCCCTTTTCCTGGTATAGTTTTTAATAAGCTCAGTAGCAAGCATGATGTGATTATTAATGTTCTGGCCTGGTATGAAGGTTGCCTGATTGTGATTCACCACACTAGGAATGACAATCCTAGTTTGTCTGTCAGAATTTTGGAAATAATCTTATAAAACGTGGTGCAGACAGCTATAGGTCTGTAGTCTTTGATTTCACAAGCATTTTGGCCTTTTGGAATCAGGAATACTACAGCACTGTTGAAAGCTTTGTATATTTTGCTTGTTTCAAAGTATTCCTTAACAGCTGCTATTACATCAATTTTTATAGCTGTCCAGCTGGCCTTGAAAAATTTGGCTCCATAACCATCCAGTCCTGGTGCTTTGAGGTTTCCAATTCCTTTAAAGGCTTTGGTAATTTCATCTTCTGATATGGTTTTGGTGAGGTATTCCCTTTAGTCCATATCAAGTTGCTTTTCCAACCTCATGGCCTCAATATCAATATGGCTAATGCTCTCATCATTTTTGCCCATTAGGTTTCTGTAGAACTTAATTACTTCATCTTCAATGTCTTTCTTGGTTGTAATTTGCCTACCATCATTCTGCCTCAGGTTGTTAAGGTTGTTGGAGTGATGTCTACCTTTGATAGCAGCATAGAAATACTGATTGCTTCCATCTCCTTTTCTAATCCAATCAATCTTAGCCCTTTGCTGCAGTATCTTCCATTCCATTTCGTTCAGAGATATCACTTCTTCAGTCAGATCTTTAGCCTTCCCAATCAATGTGTTGTTCATTCTGTCATTTCTCAGCTTTTCTTGTGTTTCTCTGAGGGTATTTCTAACTGATACCAATTTGTTTTTCACATCAGATAGAAGTTTGCTGAAGTTTTTTAACTCATGCTTCAATCTCTTGAGTTTGTGCCAAAGAACATACATTGGACTACCTCTAATATTAATTTTAAAAATATTATTATCAATAATAGTTGATGGAGTAATTAAGTTGGATTATAAGTTAATAACCAGTACTATACTAGTTACTAAGCAGAGTGCTGCAAAGTTTTCAACAGGGCTCATATTATATACTTTGCAATTGCATCAAACAAAAAGACCATACTGGTACATGATGCAAGGCATGAAAAATAGTTACACATTCAAAGGTTGAAAAAAACCATGCCACCTAAATCAGTAAAAAGTGGAAGCCAATGGTTTACGCCTTTTGCTTCCTCCCAAGTTAGAGTGATATGCTTAATATACCAATGTATCAGCATCTTGTGATTGCACTCACCAATGGAACATGCGGCGAAAGCTATCTGAATGAATAAACATCTACCAAAAACAGTCATGTAGTTATATACCTATTTTGCCGAGTACCAATTTTGAGCACATTTGGCATCAACAGAGAGATCGACTTTAAGAATATTCTTGCCGTAAAAGGGTTTGGACATGCACTCAACAACTATAGATTTCGCAATCTCAGCCGACTCTGTTGGTCCTTCTAATATGACTTCATCATGAACCTGCTTTGCCATATTCAAATTAGTTTGTGAATAGATAACTATATACCTTCAAGTAAAACCAATCTTGGTCATGCATATGGATTGTGGAAAGTGGAAAATAGCAGTTTGTTCAAATTCTGCATTTGTATAGAGCTGCCGCCACTATTGGACAACATCTGTACTAAATAGCATATTGCAAACAATAGTGATTTGTTCAAATTTTACTAGTTGATACACAATTTTTAAATATCAATATGAGCAAGAAAGTTGAGAAAGAAATTAGTGAGTGATGATATTACCTGTAGAAGTAACTTCCATCCAAGCTCCTTCAACTTTTTATTATTGGAAATTTGTATCATGGCACACATGGCGACATCAGCAGCACTACCCTGTTGCATTTTACAAATTAGAAATCCACAGAGAAAGATCCATATGCATGAATGTGCGATAGTGACGATAAATACAATTAAACGGCAATATTTTATTTAGAGCACTATCACTTTGATAGAAACTTTGGAATATGACACCTCAAAGTGGGTTTTGAAAACATTATTTCATCATTCATTGTTTTCTACGTTGGATTCACCATAATGTGATTCTCAAACTCAAGAGGACAAGGGGACAAGTTATTTTGTTATTCGAAAGAGTTACGGACCTGCACTGGAGTATTAATAGCAGCACGCTCAATGTGACCTTTCTGATAGGTATTAGCTTGGGCCATCAAAGGGAATTTCCGGGCTCGCCCTAGCAATGTGTAGACACAATAAAATTGACGAGCTTCTTTTTTACGCTCTTCTTGCCATTGCAAAACTTCTTTCCTATCGTTGTACCAAAGGTCAACTGTCTTCTTAGCTTCTTTCACAGAAACCTGAAAAAAGAAGAAAAAAAAAACATGTGAATTTTTCTCGACAATGAAATAATAAATCACAGACACTTTCAGCATCATAAATCTCTCATAATACGTAATAGAACTCAGTGTACCTTCCAATCCTTAGATAGCCCCACTGGAGTCTTCCCATATGCAATTGAGAAATTAAGCATTTTAGCTTTTCTTCTTTCAGAACCAAACGCGTCCTAAGATGGAAGGGGGAAAACACAAATAGAGTCATGAACAAATTATGGAAAAGGTGTCTGTAATGCTAAAGCAATAAATCATGCCTCTATACCTTCAATAGAGGGACTGGGGGCTTATCTTCACCAGGTTGAGGATCCCACTCGAGAAGCACTTCCTTTTTCTCAACTGCTTCACGAATATATGGGTACATGTTCATAGCAGTCCTTGAATGGAAATCTCCACCGGCTTTAAAAGCATCCATCATGCTCTTACAGTTGGCAAGATGTGCGAGAATCCTAAGTTCCAGCTGTAAAAATACATAACACCGTTAACGGGATAAAATTTCTAGAGAACATTCTAAATACATGCACAATATGAACTACTAACCTGTCCATAATCAGCAACTATTAGAGAATTCCCTGGTGCAGCGATGAATGCTTGACGGATTTTGTATCGGTCTTTTTCCAAAGCAGGTTGATTCTAATTAATGCACAAAGATTAAGGTCAATGATCAAATGAATATTGCTTAACAAATTTCAGGTTCACAACTACCACCATTAAAAGGAAATATCCTAATCAAAAGCTTAAGAGAAAATTTCTTATATATCAAACAAATTAGAATACCTGCAGATTTGGCCTTCTAGCTGACAAACGCCCTGTCTCCGTGTTGATATTTAAGGAGCAATGAACACGGTTATCCTTTCCTGATATATTATGTCCCTGATATAAAGAAACTATGAAGCTAACGCAGAGCATGGTATAAAGAACTTCAGAGTTAAAAATAACATATACTAGATCAAAACTTTATCACATGAGTGATGGCACATAGAAGCAAAATTCATAACAAAATAGACCAAAAACATGTTCAATTAAAAATATACCTGCAGGGGTAGAATGAAGTTTGAAATCAAAGATTTGATTGAACTGACTTCACATAAAGAAGCAATGGCATGGCAAGCTTCTCTCCCTTCTTTCTCTGTTGGAAAAGCAGCAAAGGCTGTTCCATATGCAGAATTATCACCTTTTGGAACCTCAATATGATTTTGAGAAGGATTTTCATGTTCATCATCAAGATCCAAGTTATAAACCTCATCAGTAAAGTCAAAATCAGAAGAAATGTTTCCAGCCAGGACCTTTAAAGCATCACCACTAATTGACGGCCAACCACTTGCTGTGTACATCTCTGTCTTCAAGTTATAACCTAGGCTTTTCACCTTCATATCGCGGAATTTTTTGGGAGCCTTCTTGCCTTCTTCAATCACTCCATCAACATTGGGAATTTTGAATACTCGTTCAGTTGGAAGTGATAGACTGGAGTTTTTTCTGCAATTTGAACAAGGCAAGTGGGTATATATGAATTGCTTCCATCAATATCTTTCATCTACTTTGTTATAAACATCACATTTCATAAAGCATGTCCTAATATGTATTAAAATTACAATAATCTGAAAGTTTGCTTGATAAATAGGTCTGAACATACGGTTATTAATAAAAAAAAGTGTGCACCTGTTCACAGTACCACCAAAAAGCAATTGGCGCAGCTGTATTTCGCTTCCGATATTCATATGCCTGGCATCAGGACAATACCTACACGCCCATTTCCGGAATCTATCTTCAGCTATTTCTTGCTCTACTTTGGCAACCTTTTCTATGCCTGCAAGATATGACCGATCAACTAGCATTCCCTCAGCTTCCATTTGGACTAGAATCTCCCCAAATGGGCGCCAATATTCATTGTAGAAATCATACATGGTTTTCCCAGAAACTAGTATACCGTCAAATTTCCACGGCATGTCTAAAAGATAGCTTTTAAGACTCTCATACAGATTCAAAGTGCTTTTAGCATCTAAGGCAGAATAACATATCCAAGGTATACGCTCATCTCTCTGTAGATCTTCAACAGGAGTGAAGATAATAGCTTTACCCTCAGTTCCGTCTTTTTTCACCTTTTTCTTACTAAATATAGTTTTCATTGACACCTTCCCGATCAAATCCTTTTCATGGTTCATCTGAGCCCTTGACATGACCTTTTTGTCACCTGATAGTTTTTCAAGAGAATAGCCCCCATTTAGTTGTCTTGAAGAATCCCATAACCGTGCCATGTGCATTGTATCAGCATGAAAACCAGAAACTTTGAATCCGTAGTTCTCTATAACATGACAGTCAAAGCTATAATTATGCCAAACCTACAAAATGCACCAGTGATTGGCTACTTAAAATATTATTTGTAATCCAGAGTCATAGCATTCATACAGCAGAAATCGTAGAATTACGGCACAAGAGGCACTGCATTTTGAGGTGAGCGATAGGATAGAAGAAGAAAGAAAACCTCACCTTCTTGATGGAAGGATTGCTAAAAAAATCAGCAAATTTTTCTAAAATTTCATTGCCTCCACCATCAAGAACATCTACCCAGATACAAGATTTTCCACCTCCAAAATCAGCTTCTGGACCGCCATAAATGCTGAAGCAAGTTATCTCCCCATGATCTACAGGCGTTTCTTGTTTGACATCTATCTTGGCTACCTTTGAATAGAATGAAATCAGCATATAATATATATTGACATACAAGAGGAAATAATCTAGCTATGCACAGTAATGAACATGGAAAATCCATATGTAAGACATGTGAAAACAGTCAAAATAATTATACCTCGGTATCACATGCATAAATAAGATGGCGGTACTTTACTGTGAGCATCTTAACAACCTCTTTTGCAAGAGGAATATTATCAACCACCAGAACATCTTCATAGATACGACAGAGTCTGTCATGAAGTTTTAACTGGTCAGCACAGCGCTCCTTTTTAGCAAATGTTGCATCAGTTGAATCCTTTGTAGTTTCCTCTTTAGCAAATGTTGCATCAGTTGAATCCTTTGTAGTTTTCTTTTTAGCAAATGTTGCATCAGTTGAATCCTTTGTAGTTTTCTTTTTGGCAAATGTTGCAACAGTTGAATCCTTTGTAGTTTTCTTTTTGGCAAATGTTGCATCAGTTGAATCCTTTGTAGTTTTCTTTTTGGCAAATGTTGCATCAGTTGAATCCTTTGTATTAGCAAATGTTGCATCAGTTGAACCCTTTGTAGTTTCCTCCAAAACGTCGTTAACATTAACTCTAGGAATTTTCTCTTGACTGATCTCCAATGCAGATTCATTAAACTGATGGACCATAGTTTCAGAATCTGTAAGCGTCTTTAAATTGTCTAATACAGAATATTTAACTGAAGATTGGACATGTTCACCAGGGTTCTGCCATACAAGATTGCTAACTTCCTCCGTAGAAAAACCTTGTATCCGACTAACGGACGCTAATTTATTAGATAATTGAGAGTCATCACTTTTCGTCTCAAATTTGTTTGCGCTGTTCATTTCCTTCCTATCTTCAGCTAACTTATTTTTTGCCATAGCCCATCCTCTTTTATCACCACAAGACAATTTCCTTTTAGTAGCGGTTGTGGAAAGATCAGGATTACAAAGAGCCACACCCACTTTCGTAACTTGTGTTTCATAGGAATGCGAAGAATTCCTCGCTTCCTCTTCTGTCATTTGCACCAACATGCTATCAGCAGTTGTAGAAAGTTCAGGATTACAAGGAGCTACACCCACTTTTCTAACTTGCATTTCATAAGAATGTGAAGTACTCCGCTCTTTCTCTTCTGTCAATTCCTCAATCATGCTAGTTGATGAATTTGAAAACTTCATAAATGTATCACAAACTGGATTCTTGTACCGAAGATTCTGTTCATATCGAGCCTTAGTGTCGTATTTATTTAACCCTACAAATGTCAACTTTGAACACCATAAATCTGCTCTAACACAATTACTATGCATCACACTATTTCGAAGGTCATTGACACCAATCTGGATTGCCTTGATTTCTCTTCTGCAATTCACATCATACGACGAAAGCAAAGGTGTCAATAAAATGAAAAACAATAACATATCATTATGTGGCTGTTACGGAATGCAACTGTGAAGATTGTCCCCACTTATAAACATATGTTCAAATCATATATTGTCCAATGTGACACACCTCCTCACGCCAAGGACTTGACGTAAACCTGATAGCAGGTGGCTCAACGGGACTCTTAACACACCCTCTCACACTCAGGACTGGACATCTGAAGCATGGACATAAATGGTGGGTGGTCCGATAAAGGAAACATGGTAGCATTGGCTCAGCGGATTTTAAACAAGGCTCTGATGCCATATTAGAATTAGAGTTTGGCCTAACTCATTCCTACAAAACTGACTTGTAGGGTGAGAATTGTCCTCACCTATACACACGTTCAATATGGATATTGTCTGACGTAAGACTCTTAACTGTAACAACAAAAAATTGTGAGGATTGTCTCACTTGTAGGGTGAGGATTGTCCTCATTTATACACAAATGTTCAAGCCATATTCAACAAAATACTGTATGGACTTCCCCAATATAAAAATTGTTGGCATCAACCGAATTCAAACCTGAGACCTTGAGATGAGCACTCTCAGGTCCCGACCCTTCACCAACAGGTCAACCCTAGTTTCATGAACTGAAGATAAAACACATTCAGTGACCAAACTAACTAACTGAAGATGTGTTGAGTAGCAAAAGACACATTCACTGATATTTTTGGCCATTATACTACAATTAGAGACTATAGCGACACTACAACACATTAAAGAACCTAAAAGAGAGTTATTTTTGACGAAAAACACAAAGAATCAATGAAGAAAAGATGCAAAACTTGGAATAATTAAAGAATTTGCAAAGGTAAAATTGAAAGAGAGTGAAGAAAAGGTAAACCTGTGGGGAGTTGGGGAAAGGAGAGAAGAGCGCGAAGATAGTGAGAGAGGGAAGGGACGTGAGAGAGGGCAGCATAAGGGGCAATATTGTCTTAACTCGGTGGCCTGTGTAGAGGCCTCCATTGTTGTAAGTGCAGTGGCTTCTTCGCTTCGCTTCTATTCTATCATGAAACCGTGTTATTGAGAATTAAAAAATGGGAAAAATCTTGGCCATTATTTATTTAAATTTAAAATTACAATTGTACTGTAGTTGGACTTGGAAATTCCATGAAACGTCATCTCTTTTGTTTTAAAAATATGTGAAAAGATTGTAATATTACGATCTTGCCATACTTTTAAAATTTAATTTCATTAATTATATTTTAGTATGTATTGTAATTAATATTATATTTTTTTACACACAATATATATATATATATATATATATATATATATATATATATATATATATATATATATATATATATATATATATATATATATATATATATGTATATATATATATATATATATATATATATATAATTGTGTACATGTGTTAGTTAGGTAGAAATAAAAGTATAGTATACGGATGACAATAGATAGGATTTGGATAGGATATTATAGTATCCATCTCCAATATTCGCCGTTGAAAAAAATTCTCGTACCCGAGCTCTTACCCGCTTGAATATTAATATTGACACTCGTCTCCGTACCTATGGGTATATAAGTGTCCGTATCCATATCCGTTATCCGCATTTCTAATAAAAATAAATATATCAAGTATAAAATATCATAATATTTTAAGTTTTTAAAAACATTAAAAAGTTTTAAAAAAAAACTATTGTTGAATAATGAAATAAATGATCACTTATATTAAATATTAAATATATAGTAGTTTAAAATTGATGTCTTTTTTAAGTTTTATAAAAATTTATGTTTATATAATAATATAAATTAAAGGCAAAATAATATTTTTCGTCCCTTAACTTTAACTCGGGGTTTAGTTTGGTCCTTTAACTTTAAAAAGTGTCAAGTTGGTCCTCTAACTTTTAAATTGGTGTCACGTTTATCCTTCCGTTTGTTGTCATTAGTCAAAGTTTGAAAAAAAATGTAACGTTTGTCTAGGTGGACTTGATGTTGCTGGCGTGGATATGAAATGTCTTAAAACAAATCCCTCTTGACCTTAGTTTCCATTACCCAGAAAATAAGACGTTTGTACAGGTAAACTCAATGAATCATTGAAGACGATTCAAGGGTTGAAGACGTGAAGGATTAAAGACGCGATGGATCGAAAGCGGAGGATTGAAGACGATTCAAGGATACATTATCAAAAGGTTAGTTCATTTCTCTCTGATTTAGGATTTACGAATCTCATAGGGCAATATCTGCTAGAGGTTCAGATTTAGGGTTTATGTAAATTTTTTAGTGTAAACTCTAATTATTTAGATGATATGATTAGGTATCATGGACGAATACATAACTCTCAAAATTCATCATAGTGGTGAGTTCACCGACGAAGGTGTATATGAGAATGGAGTAGTAGATGATTTGAGAGTAGATGTAGACAAATGGACTTATTTTGATCTAGTTGTTGTATTGAAAAACTTGGGTTATAGGGAGTTTGAAACAATATTTTACAAGGACCCTCAATTTGGGATGAATACACTTGTTAATGACAATGGTGCTTTAGAAATTGCAGATCTTTATAGGATGCACCAAAATGTTGATATTTATATTAAACACACCTTATCTCAACCTGACTACTGTGGTGTTGTTGTTTATGAAGTTGATGAGAACCCTGCTGAAATTGTAGATGAGGTGGAGGAGTTACTTAGTCAACTGCATGATGAAGTTGTGGAAGTTGAACAAACCACTGTTGTGATGGAGGAAGGTGGTGTTAGAGTTGATCAAGCCACTACTGGGTTAGAGGAAGGTAATGTTGGAGTTGATCAAGGGAATCTTGCAGTGGATGAACATATTGTTGGAGTTGAGGAAATTAATGTTGGAGTTAAACAAGAGAATCCTGCAGGGGAAGAAGGTAATGTTGGAGTTGAAAAAGGTAAACCTGCAGTGGATGATGACTTAAGTTTATCTTCTGATGATAGTGAAGATGAGGACTACAATTATGATAGTGCACAAGATATGGCTTTTGAGGATGAGTTTGATGGGTGTGATGAGATTGAGAAGGATGAACTTGATACCCTAATTGGTCATGAAAATGATGGTAATGGAGAAGTCAAAGAACTTAATGATAAGTCTTTAGAAGATAAAAGGAGTAACAATGATAGTGAGGACATGCAAAATGGTTGTGATAGTGATGATAGTAGTGGAGTTCTAAGAAAAAAGCATCTAATTTTCAGACAGCCCAAAGACATGTCAGATTATAAGTGGAATGAGGAAATGTACTTTAGTTCAAAGGGTGATTTTAGAGAAGCAGTAACAACTTATGTTGTGTAAAATGGTATAGACCTAAGGTTTGTAAAAATGACAGAGTTAGGGTAAGGGTTAGATGTAAAGTTGGTTGTGAGTGAGAGGCTTATTATAGCAAGTTGTCAAATGAAGACACTTGGCAACTCATGAAAGTAATTGACAAACACAGTTGTAGTAGAAAGTATAATGTGAAGCTGATAAGTATAAAGTGGTTGAGTAAAAGAATTCAAAATAGCTTGAAAAATAATCCAAGGTTGGGTATAAAGGATATCAAGGAGAAGACACAAAAAAATAAAATGTTGGGGTCAACAAAACCAAAGCTATAAGAGCAAGATTTGCAGCTAGAGATTATGTTGATGGTTTTTTTTTGGGAGATTACAGAAGGGTCTATGAATACTGTCATGAACTGTTTATAGTCAATCCAGGGTCAACAGTTAAGCTCAATATTGAGCCTGTACGAGAAGGTATTGAGGATGAAAGACCACATTTTAGAAGGATTTTTTTACATATGATATGTTGCATGTAAGGAAAGCTTTAAGTTGTGCAGACGTGTAATAGGTCTAGATGGGTGTTTTCTGAAGGGGTTGTGTGGAGGGCAAATTCTGGAGCCATTGGGAGGGATCCTAATGACCAGATGCTTCCCATAGCATATGCAGTTGTGGAGAGTGAAAACAGGGATAATTGGACTTGGTTTTTAGAGCTGTTAATTGATGACCTTGGAGGCAAAGATGAATGCCTGACTTACACCTTCATCTCAGACCAACAAAAGGTAAGTTTTTCATTTATTCTTATGGTTTTATGTGTTTCTGTTATGCTATTCCTGTTATGTTATACTGTATGTTATGCTATATTATTATGCTACATTGTATGTTATGTTATTGCAGGGTCTGCTACCTACTATGGATGAGCTATTGCCAAGGGTGGAGCACAGGTTTTGTGTTAGGCACCTCTATAACAATTTTAGAAAAAAGTTTTCTGGAAAAATGTTGAAGGACATAATACGGAAGGCTGCCAAGTCAACATACCCACAAGCATGGGAAAGAGAGATGAAGGGAATGAGGTGTCGCAACTACGAAAAACACCCGGCAGAAAAACAGAAGAGTCGACACCGAACATTATTTATCCCAAAGAAAGGGAAAGGAAACGATCAAAGAGAACCTGAAGAATGGGAAAAGACAAGGTCATCGCAACCAAATCTTGAGTTCGGAAGTCGGTTACGCAAGGGGAAGGTATTAGCACCCCTCACGTCCGTTGTACTACACAGGACCCGCGCTTGTTGTCTAATCAAAGGGTATGTTTATCTATAAACTACTTCTAAATAGAAATGAGAACAAAATAAAAAGAAAGAAACTCGATAGGACATCGCCGCCTTATGCCTACGTATTCCCTCGTGCAATGGGAAAGTTAGAGTCGACGTAGTTCGGAAAATTACGGGTGATGGGGGAAGGTTGCTCGCCAAGACATCATCGTCTTGTGTCTACGTATCCTCATATGGTATGAGAAATCAGAGCAAACGTAGTTCGGGTAAACTAGACCACTGGTTGGTTAAGTATTTTTTATGAGTGACACTATGTTACCATTCTAGCAGTTAGGATCGATGTCTGTTTGCGGTAGAACGGAAGAGTAACGCACTCTTTTTTAAAAATGATTTTGAAGAACAAATCTCGAAGGATAAAAAGTTTGATTCAGTTTGTGAGTTTTAGTGAAGCGAATTAGTTTGCTTTGTGATTCACGTTGCACTAAAGACTATTACATAGGAGTGAATGTGTCACATATTGCCCAAAGGGCATACGCTAAACACTCTAGACAAGTAAGGAGAAACCCTTCACTCATCATTTCACATGTGCTTAAGGCTCGTGGCGCACAACGTTCATCAAATTTATTAGATGAGTTAGAATGTATTTTGAGATGAGAAAAGAGATGCGCGAAAGGTCTAAGGGGAAACTCGGCCCTAACGTCATCATGCAAAGTGGTCCTAAGGTCGGGATGCGAAAGGAGATTTTATCCTAATGTTAGCATGCAAAAGATGGACCTAAGGTTGAGGTTAAAAGGGACTAGCCTACTTGTTATCATGCTTGGATTGCTCTCTTGAAGTCTATCTTACTCCAAATTTAATCGAAAATTAAATTGGAATTAGAAACATAAGGGAACATGCAAAGACAAAGCAAAAAGCAAGAAAACAAGGCTAAAACAGCAGCTACAATAGTGCCTCCTTTATAAAACAGCAACTACAATAGCGCCTCCTGCATAAAACGCAATATAATCTAACACACAAGCAAGACAGCCTATAACAGCACATGTTTCAGCATAAAAGCAAGTGTAAAAGGTAGGCAGGCAGCAAGAAAGGCAAAGATAACATGCAAGATTCAAAACAACCACAGTTGTGGAAGGTTGGGCAGTAAGTAAGCAAGCATGATTTAGTGCAATCAAACATAAGAAAACACCAATCATGGATAGATATTATGCAAGTATGAACATGCCTCAACAATCAGACATAACTGATCAGCAACATTGCATCAACAAGAATCAACAAGATCAATATGCCTTTTCAAATTAAATTGGATGATCGACCGATCAAACAAACGTGTAACAAGCGGCATCATAATCGTCAATGGTAATTAATTAATCATGCTACAAGCAAGTAAAGCAATATGATCATTCATCAATCAAGCAACATGAGCATGTTTAACATTTAAATGAAATTGGACGTT